AGAATTCAACTCATGAACAAGTTGGGTTTTTTGAGACTTACTTTTCTTTCTTTGGCTTAGTATTAATATCACCAAGAACCATAATGTCCGAGAAGTCTATCCGAAATTTGCTGAGCAAAGTAGCCATCCTGTATCAGAAAATCAAGCCAAGGAAAAAAAAACAAACAATGACTTAAATGTGATAGGGGAGAAAAAAAAAAATCAAATTGACCTGGCACATGGCTATAAAATCACAAAATCACAGAATGGTTTGGGTTGGAAGGGATCTTAAAGATCATCCAGTCCAACCCTCCTGCCACGGGCAGGGACACCTCCCACCAGACCAGGTTGCCCAAAGTCCTGTCCAACCTGGCCTTGAACACTTCCAGAGAGGGGGCATCCACAGCTTCCCTGGGCAACCTGTGCCTGTGTCTCACCACCCTCACAGTAAAGAATTTCTTCCTAATATCTAGTCTAAATCTACCCTCTTCCAGTTTAAAACCATTCCCCCTTGTATTGTCACTATCTGCCTTGGTAAAAAGTCCCTCCCCAGCTTTCCTGTAGGATCCCTTCAGGAACTGAAGGCTGCAATAAAGTCTCCCTGGAGCCTTCTCTTCTCCAAGCTGGGGAAAAAACAAAAGCAAACCAAAACAAGAACAAGATGTTTTTGAAAGAAATAAAAAACAAACAAAAAAACCAAATAAAATGAACAACCCAAACCATTCTAAAATAAGAGATCTCCCTTAAAAAAAGCCTTGGAAAATATTTGAAAAAGAAAATGTTAATGTCAGACAATGATGCAGAAACATAACTTGAGATATCTCATCCTAAATGATCTGGGGGAAATGGAACTTTTTTGAAGAAAGTGAACAGAGTATGATTACACCTCAAACAAAGAACAACTGAAAGAAGGCTACTAAGAAGAAAACGTCATCTACTATGTATCATGCTCTATTAGTGTTTGAAATGAAAATTTTAACAGTAAACTTACGCTCTTCTGTCATGATCAATCCTGTTTATTTTTCCACCAATGAACACTCTGATCTTACAGTCTTTCCACTTCTTCTTGGTTGTAATAAGATAAGGAATCAACAGTGTCAAACCTGCATTTTGACCAGAATTTGGGAATGACTCAGAAAATGCAGCATTGTGTTAAGAGTTTAACAGTACAAATCTGTAATCTATATATGAACTGACTGAGAGAAACTATTAGAAATTAACTCAAAATCATGTCAATTTTTTTTCCAACATTTATTTTTCAAGTATAAAGCACATTACCTCCATCATCAAAGAGCCACCAGACATCAATATTGCTTTTGCCTTGTTTCTTCTGAAACTGAGTACTAGCATCAAGAAGTCTTTGGTCAGCCAAGTTTAAAGGAGAAGATGGGCTCTTTGAATCTGGAAAAAAGTATGACAAAATTTCATTCTTGAAGTGTTCTGGTTAATCACCCTGAAATTAATCAAATGCAAATTCTTAACATTTTGTGGTATCTCTAAGTTTAAATACAAATTGTTTCTTACTCCCCAACCCATAAGTGGATATATACTGAGCTACATTTATGGAGTCTGCAAACTTGTAACTTTGGCAGTTAAAAGATTTAAATCCTCAAAGTAATTTAGCAAACATTGGCCAAAAAAGGGATCTGTAAGATCTTCATACAGACATTTGCCCAGACAAAGTAAATAACCTTGCATACATACTTCAGAGTATTAGGTCATGCACTGTTCCTACTTCTTGCATGCGACCAAACTTCCCTAAAAACTTTACAGGTAAATACTACATCGGAAGCACTTTTATTCTTTCTTAAATCTACTTTTATTTAAGCATGTGGTGAAAATAAAAGCTAGTTCTGTGTCCATCTTTTGCAACAAGTACATGTGCAAGGCTCTGAAGCACATACAGACTATTTTGTGTAATGTTATTGTATTTGCTGAGAACAATACAAGAACTGCACTTTCAATGAGATCAATACAGGTAAATATAATTTTTTAAAACTATAGAAAAAACCTAACTTCTTTCTCTTAATTAAAACCTCCGTTTGAAAAAAAGCCAAGAGTTTAATGTTCATATCCGTTCTTATTTTATTAGAAGTCTTAAAATTCAGAGTACATCTGCGACTGATTTGCAGTAATATACTATTATACAGCATACTGGGACTTCTTCCAAACAGCTATTTTGTGCTTCAAGATGTAATCTCACTTACCATTATTAAAACACAATAGCTTCTAACTGTTGAAATTATGAGGAAAATGTCAAAAAAGTTATATGAATCTTAGTTAAGGAAAAAATATTTGTGTAACTCATAACTCAAAAAAAGTCTGAAATAAACCAGGAAGTGAAAATGGCTCAATCAATCTCTCAAAACGCTGTTTAGTTGAGGGTCTACATTGCATTATTTCAGATGTTCATCTCACTGAGTGCCTACATTATGCCTTAATTTGCAAGCTATTGAACATTTCCAAACAATAGAGCAGCAACTATGCTTTAAAAGATCTACCGAATAGACTGAGGGAGCACTTCCACTATATCATTAGATAATACTTCTCTTACTCCTAAATCAAGTAAGTACCCAGACAGATACCTGAGACACAGAACTAAGCAAGCTCCTGAACACATTTCAAACGTTGCTTAAGAAGTATATTAAAAAAAAATAAATATATATATATATCT